GAAGCCTGGAATAGTATCAAGGAAACAAGACTCACAGAATCTTAAATATTTGTGATATCCAGCTTGTTCTAAATGTTTGCACCCTCTGCTTCACTTCTCAGAACAGTGTTTCTTAATTTTCTACAGGCAGGAGGGTTTCACCCAGAAGATAGCAGCAATACTTAGCACTTGAATAGCACCTTTCACTTTCAAAATGTTGTACAGATATTAAATATTTTCCCCAAAATCTTGCAAAAAACTGGGAATTGAGGAAAAAAGTTTAAAGGTGTTAATGGAAATTTGGTGCATATACTTTAGGCCTTTGATAATCGCAACCTATTTTGTGATTATCCTAATGTAATTAACCAGTTCCTATTTTTCTAATAAAGGAACTAAGATGGCCAAATCATGATTTCACCACATCTGTTTAATTAGTTTGCAGCAAGCACTGTTCCCCCTTTCAGTCTTTTATCCACATTTCACAGTAATCACTGGGCTTACTATATTTGTAACCTCAAAATGTGTTAACTATCCTGTGCAACACAGGGACCTGTTTGTGAAATGCACTGTCTAGAATATACTGAACAAGAAATTTTCTGATGCTGGTGTGATCACGACATTGGTGACAGCTCTAAAATGAAAGTTAAATAATTTAAACTGATTTCCTTTGTTATTAAAAATTGACTACCCCAGTTCAAAAGTAGACAATCAGCTGACTGGAAAAAAGAGCTCTTACTGCCATAGAGAAAGCCTTGTAGAGCTCTTGGTTCTGTCCTATATGATCCAAAAAGTGCCTGACAGTGGATGTAAGCAGCTAACTGAGGACATAAAACACCTGAAAGAAGAACAACTGCTCTTTGAGATGTGTTTTTATCAGTTGTGGAGAAAAAAAGGAGAAGCTGTTAGTATCCAAGCTTGTCAGATAAGTGCCATTAGAAAGCTGTAAGGTTCCTGAGATTATTATTCCTTAAAGTTGCAGTAAAAGACACTAAAAATGAGTTATGGCTCAGTGCCTTGAAGAATTGCCCAAGTAACCCATGAATAAGCATATGAAAACATATAGTCATGTTAGCAAGTTCAGAAAGCTCTTTAGCTCTGCTGAGCAGACTCTCCAGTATCCGCACTATGTGTGCTTGTATAGTGTGCAGATACCTCTAACTCGTCAGAGGGAGAGGCATTGTGACATGTCTTCACGGGTTAAATCCTCTGGCTGGTTTGAATAACACTTCTTTGCTGTTTCTTTTAGACATCTCATTTTGGAAGAGTACGTGTTATGGAGTTATGGCAGTCAGGTCCTGATCATGCTGGTCCTTCTCTAACTGAAAGGAAAATATGGTGCTCATCTCTCAGAGAGGGGTGATGGGTGCTCTGTGCAAGGGTGGGTCTTTTGCAGGACTGGGTTGCTTATGTCCTCTCCTCAACACATAATATTCTGCAAAGATGCTACTGTATTTTAGTCTTTCCTCTGATATTCCCCAAGGCATGGCAGAACCTGCCTAAGGTATCTAACATACCTTAGTATGTTATCTGGGTAAAGAAGCTTGCATAGATCAAATAGACTTTGCTGAGAGCTGAACTTGACCCTCTGATGAAAGTTTCAGTGCTTGCAGGATGTAGCGTGGTATCCTGTAAAACTGGGCTGTCATTGGCCAAAACCATGAAAGAGCAAAGCAAAAAAATGTGTCTTTTTCTGCCTGCCATGCGCAGTTCCTTTACCAAATGAGAGGTCTGGCCACATTCATTTTGTATCACTTCAGTTGACACTTCAGATGCAGATATGTTATTTTTATATATATCTGCAAGACTGAGCACAAACAGAAGTGGGTGCTGCTCATCACGTAGAAAATTAGAAATTACATGTCAACCTCTTAAATAAATAAAACTAGAGCTAGCAATTGGACATGTAGAGATCCAAGTTGTACTTACAGACTGAGAACTGAAAGGAGGAGGTAAGGATGAGTGCTTAGGTCTCTCTATTGCCCAAGGTAGTCATGTTAACTTCTACATGCACACAACGGTGCCTAGAGCGAAGGTGTCCATTTGTTTTATAGCGGGGCCAACTGCCGACTTGCAAAAGCGTGTTTTACAGAGCCAGCAGTGTTATCAAAGTTATAAACTTAAATATGGTTACCTTATCAACTTAAAACTGGCTCTTAATTTGAAATATTTAGGAAAGAGCACTGAAGTCAGCTGTCATATCATTTTCATTTACTAATGGAGTAATCAACATCTGTAGAGCATGCGGCCACAAAATCTTTCACTCAAAAGTGCGCTCAAAAATTCTCTTGTCTGAGATCTGTAATCTCATTTTAATTAGTATTGCACATGATTACTCCAATCAAAGAAAGTCAGTGGCAAACATTGCCATCTGCATTCATCATTAACATCAGCTAGCACGATGGCAGTCGGTGATTTTAAGTTAATACATGGGCTCTGAGGTACAAATGTCTGTTCAAGGACAAAGAACACTGCCCTACTTACTTTCTACTACTTTGCTTCTGAAACACATCCTTCATCTTAGAACTTGCCAAATATGGAGCATTTCCAGTTTGACATCTGTTTTACATCTGGGATGTGACAGTCTTGCCTATTCTCTGCAACAGAAGATATTGTCATTTGTTTTGAGTAATGTAATTATGCGTGGGTTCAGGATTGTATCACATCTGCACAGTATTCAACATGGTTGCCAACTGTGTGACCAGGGTTTTGAGATGCTGATTGGCTTCTATGGCAAGGTGCATAATTACTCAGTGAATTTTTAAGACAAAGAATGTTCAATACAGTGTTAAAACTCAGACCACTGCATGCTGATAAGGGCAATACCAACAGGATGATATGTTGTATGCCTGTTTCTGTGTGCACTGCCATTTCTCCAGGCATCAGGTGTCATTAATTGGTTAAGAAGAGGTGACTAATGATACTTAGCTCCTTCTGGATTCACATGCTACTTCATCATATGTCCTCATAGAAAGCCTTATTTGACAAGGCAGCAGATGACCTGCTACTGATAAGAACCCTTTATGAATGTAAATTTTTACTAAGACATAGCCAAATTTTTAAAGGATTTCCACTTCTAAGCTATTAAAATTATGTTATCTTATACCGTGCCTTTAATCCCTCTGTATATCTTCAGCATTTTTAATACACCTTGCTCTGCAATACGAAGGTGCCATCTGTATCTATTCTAAGATACACTTCTAAGCCATTAAAATTTTCCAAAGGTTGCATGCAGTCCAGGAACATTTACCAAAAAAGGCACAAGCATATCTAAGCTCATAGATTATGTAAAATTCAGCAGAATTATTTATTGTCTTCATCCTCAAAGGGAATTATCTGGGCTTTTCTGAAGATGTTAGCACATGACTGTAAACTCTTTAAGAAAAGACATATTCCAAATAGCATTCTTCCTCCTCCTGAACCAGGCCTTTCATGCAGAATGAGTGCTTATGAGAGCTTTTAAATTATTTTGGTTGCATAGTTACAACTCTGATAACGTTTTTTTTTTTTTAAGTTCTCCTCATTATGAGAGGTTGCCTTGAGTGTTTTAAATCTACCCATAAAGCTGCTATAATAATTCTCTGCAATTACACTACAATGCACAACAATTAATTATATCAAATCCTTCTCACAGAAGTGTTTACCAGTGAAGAGATTGCCACGGCTTTATTTCTGACAATAAAAGAGTAGGAATTATTATACACCTCTTGGGATTTTACTGACCTAACATTTCTGTAGTCAGAATTATAATCATATTATTTTCCCTATAGGAAATAAACATCAGTTCTCGACAGGCATGATCTTTAAATAATATTTTACATGGGAAAAATATTGCCATGTGTTTTTTCCTGTAAGAAACCAAGATCTGGATTTTTAGATAGGTAACTCCAGTGACTGACATACAGTCACATACAGCCTTGCTGGGATTCATGGGCAGGGTCTTCCCCTGAGAAACTGGAGTATGTCAACTGGTGTAGGTGCCAGACAGGATGAGGTTGAGAATTGGTATCGCTGTAGCTTGGTAATACAGAGCTCAGGGCAGGCTGAGGTTCTTTCCCAGGATCTAGGTTGAATACTTAGGCAGTGAATTCATGCTGAATTATGCCCAGCCGCAGTTTGATAGCCAGGTACCTTAAAGCTAGCTCTCAATTTGTGCTTATTGAGTCCCTAAACTTATATATACATCTTATATTAATATACGTGTCCTATACATGGGACTATTTTGTATAGGCATACCCAAGGTAGATGTCCACTTCAAACTGGTGGAAAACATCTTCAACATCAAAGGAAAAAGCTAGGGCTGTTCGAGCAGGTGCTGCAGCACGGGGGGACTGGACGTGGATGGTGAAAGCAGTGCTGCTGTGTCCACGCAGAGTGCATTTGGAGGGGTGTATGTCAGACTAGCACTACTCTGGTCAGGGCATCTTTCAGTTTAGTTTCAAATTTCAGGAATCCAATTTGTACAACCTAACACAGCTCCAGGACATGAACCAAAGCACTGTGAGGGGGAATAATCAAGAGATTCCCTTTGAAGGCTCACTTCTGGTCTGAACTATATGCTAAGACAGGTGCATCCATTCACCTAAAGAAATGTGTTACCCTGAGCACGGTTTTGGTCCCTTGTATTTAGTCCTCTCAATGCACCCCTGCCTGCCAGACACCCTTCTGTCTGAGCACAGGGAAGTGTGAGAAAAGGACATGCTCAACAGCCACAAACTGCTGTCGGCAAGGTGACAAGAGGGGCTTCTGGCTACCAGGCTTGTTTACTAGATACTCTGATATGGTGATTGTTCTTTATTAAGTGAAACGGTAAATACCATACTTTACTGTTCAGTTTCTCTTTTTAAAAAAGAGGATTCTGTAAAGATTAACTTCACAGTGGTAAGTTTTCCTCTGAGCAAGACCCTTCTCCTTGGAAAGGAGCGAGGGTTAGCTGTAACATAAAATATGACAAATTGTTCAGAAGTAAATGTTCCCAAGACAGATATAATCACCTGTCTTCATATCTTTATGTCTTTTCACAGAGCCATGTTTGACTATGACAAGAGCAAAGACAGTGGCCTCCCAAGCCAAGGACTCAGTTTTAAGTATGGAGACATCCTTCACGTCATCAACGCCTCGGATGATGAATGGTGGCAGGCGAGGAGGGTCACGCTGGAAGGAGACAGTGAGGAGATGGGAGTTATACCCAGCAAGAGGAGGTGAGTGCTGCCTCCTCCTTCCTACCTCCTTGGTCATGATGTTAAAATATTCCATTGTATTCCAAAGACAGGGTGCATCAATCTACTGAAAAAATGGGGAAAGCAGAGGAAAATCCCACAGTTATTATTTGAAGAGTTGGAAGATATGATTTTTGCTGTGAGATTTAAAGAGCTCAGGCTGTTTAACTGTACTGAAGAGAAACTCAAAAGGTGACTCAATTATAGTGGATTAGTAACTTCACAAAGAAAGAGGAGGAGGGCGAGAGAGTACCATCTACTAAAGAGCTTTGGCAGAAAAAGGAATAACCAGAACCCAAGTCTGGGAATTAGCTCTGAATTTGAAGTAGAGCACATGTTTTAATGTCAGGGTGATTAGCCATTGCATCAAACTGCTGAGGGATGTAATGAGTGTCTTGACATTTTCAAATCAAGACTGTATGTCTTTCTTTTGAGAGAGTAATAGAATTAAACTTTTCAGCCTGTGTGATGTAAAAAATGACGCTAAACTATATAATGGTCCTCTCTGGCTTCAAAATCTGTTAATTTAATCTCTGCCTGCCTGGAAACTGATGGATAATAAATATCAAAGTAAATTTTTCATATGATGTAAATAAAGAAACTTCCATCCACTCTCCAAGCTAAATTTGAATCTTTGTTTAGCTGTGACGGATCCATGCTGACTGATGGAGAGAGAACAGACATCTGAATGTCTCTCATTGTTTGTATTGTTTACTGTGTCTAGGTGCTTTTGTAAAATTGGCCACGAGTCTCTGATAGTATCAGAACTACCCCACAAATCAGTATTATTTTCTGCCTCTGTTGATAGTTGTTATAGAAAGGTCAAGAACTGAAAGGGTAGGAGGAAAATGAAATCTGTCAAACCACATTACATTTCTCTTTTGCAGCAATGCTCACATACTGCATATAAACTTTCTAATCCTAGCTATTTCAGCCTTAGCATTAATATAAAAATGATCATTCCCTTTTTTTTGTAGTGTGGAAATGGGATGTTTGATGCTCTGTAGAGCACCTGCTGCTGTTTCAGGAGAGTTGGCCCAGGTGTTAATAGAGCTCATAGTAGTCCGTTCTAAATCACGTAAAAATAAACTGAAAGGCTATCAAATATCTTGTTGACATAACCTTATTTTCTCTAATCATGACCATGTTTGGATAGCAACCACACCAGGATTTTCAGCAAAAAGCAATTTTGTACTTGTATAATAGACAGAAATAAAAACTACTTTATAATTTCTAAGATCGGAAAAATGTGCCCATTAAACAGATTTAGTCTCTAGATATTGAAAAAGGAATATTTGCCTGCTATTAATTGCTGCAGTAAATACTGTTGTAGTGACATGATTGGATCACACATGGGAAAAGAGGAAAGTCTATTCAGTTATTACTGAGGGAAGAATGTGCACAAAGCTCACTCACAGTGTGGTGTGTACTATGAAAAGCTACAAAAAGTTGCCATAGGTAATAAAAAAAACTATAGGGGAAAATAGGGCAAAGCAAAGCAACTGATTAAGGTGTGGAGGTTTATCTTCTGTAAGGTGGAGAGAATGTAAGTGCCTAAAGCTTATCGGGTTACCTGCACAGCGATGTTTTCAAGGACAAAAGATAGAGGCTCTCTAGTCAAGGTCAGACATGTGATACCTCCTAAGAAAAAGATGTGGTGTAGGAAATACTGGGAGAAAAGAGGGGGGAAAAAAGGGGAAAAAAAAAAATAGGAAAGATTAAAACAGGTTGGTTAGAGTCTAAAAATAAGAGACTTTGAAAAGTGCAGGTATAGTTACCATGCTCTCCACTTATCCTGATTCTTCACTAGTGAGTCTGAGAGGTCTGGAAAAATCAATGGCATCTGAATTTCTGTCTGCATTCATGTAATGATGTGATACACCTGCGCTGGGGTGGGAGGTGGTTGCTATTATTTCATAAAAGGTTTCAGTTGTACAAGGTTATTTTTTCCATTTTTTAATTTATTCTGGATGATCCCTCGGAGCCAGTGAGACTGATGCACTCTTGCCAACGTCTTCTGTGGTCATTTACATCACCTAAGGGGAGGATGAGCAATCAATGCATACAGGGCTGAGCTACAGAGAATAAAGCTCATCATACTTGCCAGAATGTACTAATTCAGAGTTGAATTTCCTCTGCAGGTGTGGGTTATTGACTATGAGAGGCTTGATCTAAAACACAGTAGTCCTGGGATTCGTTTGAGCAAATGTAGGCAACTATGGCATGGAAATCTTCATTTAAGCTGTTTACTCCAGGATGCTATGTCTCTCATACTTTATATGTGGCTGTTTCCATAGGTATTGCATTCTATGTAATACAGCATATGTAGTATCTAGCAGTAAAATATGCCTTGTGGTAGAACAGGAGGAAAAGAGCATCTGTAGCTGTTTGTTGGGCTGTGACTTGTCTTGCAAGCCCAGCTTCCTGTGATGTTGTAGGTTGAAAAGATTTTATATTGGCCTTGTGCTTTTCAATCCCCCATTCATTTCTGCTCCTTTTCTTTGGGGTTTGGGGGGGGTTGGTTTGGTGGGGATTGGTTTTGGTGTTGTGCTTGGACTCCTTCTTCTGCCTATGTATATATGAAGGAATACTATCCTGTGGGACTGTAATATTTTGTGCATTTTGGGTCAGGGAGAGGCTACACAGATCCAGGGATTATTAGTGCCAGGGTGAGTCTTTTAGATATCTACTTTACTACCTTATCTCCTGGCCAGCAATATACAATTCCTGCATTCTTCATAAGTGAAATCATTATGGAATAGCTCTGAAAGCTAGTGACCGCTTCAATTTTATTTTGGTGTGTATATAGATATGTATACAAATATAGGTATATATGTATATATACACACAAAGCAATAACAATTACATTATATTACTTCTTGAAGGTGCTGTGCGATGGTAGTTGCTTTCCAAGTATTTAGTTGTGCATTTTTTTACATCTTTTTACAGGAGAGCCCTTCACACAGTGACAACTTAGCATGAGCTGATAAGAGTAATTTTGAATGATAAATCAAGACTCCATACTCTTTTTCTCCTCTATCATATATGTGATATACCAGAAGAAATAATTTATAATTATAGGGGAGCTAAATAATAATTTATAATTATAGGAGAGCTACCACTCATTCTCTCCAGGATGTTGGATATATTACCAGACTTTACCTCTTAGTGATTCAATAGAGTTTGAAAGCTATTTGTCATTAGATTTCAGTGCTGCTGCCAGTGTGTGGACTTGTTGCCTTGCTGATTGTTAAATTGTAAAGTCAGGCTTTAAGAGGGAGTTTTGGAGGGCAGCACTGCAGCTAGAGGGGGGTTACTGAAAGAGGCAGCACAAAGAAATGAGGGTGGCCCTGTGTTTCTCCACTGATCTGTGCAAGGACCAAATCTCATAAACTGGTGAGCTGGTGACCTCAGTGGGGATTAACAAAAACTAAATGCTCGGTATCCTGCAGTGCTAAAACGTCATTGCAACCCTTTCTACATCTGCAAACATTTTGTGCATTTGTCAGTATGTATTTATTGTCTGGTTACAGTTGTTGTTCTTGACTGTGAGACTGCGTAGCCAGTTGGGTAGAAACCAAACATAATGCTATAAAGGTGTTGTGATATTTTATCATATTGATGTTGGGAACAGTAGGACTTCAGCATAAGAGACTGCAAACTACTTCTGTTGTGGTTTAACAGTCACCAAGTAGCTGTTATATTACAATAACATTAATGAATGAATATTGCAGGCCAAATTTCTCTTGGTTCTACATCCTCCAAAAAGATTTATCCAAGCTATGTCTACAGTGAGAGCAGGGCACAGCTACTATGCTGGGCAGGGTCTCCAAGATGAGGGGACATAACTACCAGTCCTGTACCAATATCTCAGGCAGCCTGTGGCATTACCTGTGCGCTATATTTATGCATGTGAACTGCTCCCCATCATCAAAAATTACTATTTTATACTAGAATCACCAACAGAATTAGATTTACACTAGATTTTTGTTACATTTACATGTATAGATGTTTAGCTTTAGATTAGAATTTCCGCATATTCTGGGCTTTTGATCAGAAGAATTTTTATTTGCCTCATTGTTCTTCCTATTGTCCAGATAAACAAAACAAATTCAGCTTGCCATAAAGGGCAGTAGCAAGCTGAGCAGCCTGTGTCTAAGATTCCCTCCCCATGGAAACGCTCGCATTAGTTAAAGCGAATCAACAAAAAGCATAAAAACAATGTGCATAACTTAGAGTTTATTAAATTCCTAGACAGATGCTCTAATTCAGTAGTAAAGAGATTTTGATTTGCTGTAGCATTGATTTTACACCTCCAGTTCTTTTCACTTTTTCTTTGCTGAGTCTCTGCACACAGAAAAGCTCCTACATTGCAAGCCCCACACAACAGCAACCTCCCACTTCATGAATGTCAGGCTTCAGTATTTTCTGACATATATATATATATATATCTGCTTGACTTAGGTCTGTGAGTCTGAAAGTACTTTAGGCTGCGATTTCACACAGATTGCTCCAGAACAGCCGAGTGTAAATTCTCACCAGTTTTACTACTCCTCCCACTGTAGCCAATGAGGATTTGGTCCTAAAACACTAAAATATTTACACTGATCTTTCTGTTGTCTTTAAGATGTCCAGCCACAAAACTGCTCTCAAACTGGACATCATTCTAAGATATCCATTTTCAAGTAGTTTAAGTACATCTGACTGCAAAATGTTATGCAACTCGTATCTCTGTTGTTACCAGCTGAAGGTGTATGATGGTACCAACCCGATATTTGTGTTCTCAAATAGACAGCATTCTCCCCACAAATACATGTAACCATGCCCTCCTTTCAGAGCAAAAGGGGAGAAAAAGTACATAAAAACTATCATTTCGCAAACATTTAAGAACAAGGAACAAGAGGTTTTCCCAGCACAGAAGTCCCTGTGGGCAAAAAGCCAACTTAAATGTGTTATTCTGCTCAGCTTGGCAGAAGGGCATG